ATCCCCAAACCCCAAAACCCCAAAACCCCAAAACCCCAAAACCCCAACCTCTAAAATCATGAATACAAGTTTAGATTTAATAATTGAATTTTTAAAAGAAAAGTTTAAATTTAAAAGATAATTAAAGTATTGAAATTTAAAATGGTTAATTTCAACTTTTGCGGGAAATTTCTTAGAGTTTCAAGAAGATTCTATCCTTAAAGATATTATATCACAATGTTTCGGGTGATCTATGCTCGCGAAAGAGTTTATGAAGCCATTAAGACACCATACTTCGATATTCTATTGCTATTTATTTGGAACATTGTATACTATACTACTTTAAATCTCTAATGCGAAGAAGACAACTTAAATCAATGCTTTGTAGATCTATTCGAGCTTAATATTGCCCAAAATCTCTTAAGACTGATCCTGTGCTAATATATTCTGTATAAGATTCTCAAGAGATCTTTAAATAGATTAGATAATCGTATAAAATATAGTATAATTAGTTTTGTAGTTATAAGCTTGATTACGTAAACAATGATCTTGTAGCCTAAATAAAGTTATATACAGATGCTCTAGTTTTACTATAAATTACCTTGGATTGTATTTGTAATAAGTTTACTTTTATGAAGTCATAAAATAGCATTTATGCATTTGTATCGTACGAAAAATAGATCTTTAAAGTTACTAGTTTTGTTGATTATTGTAGCTTCTCTGCGATACTTTTATTAGAATACTATTTTGATTAGTTGTGAAAATTGGAAAAATGGCCTTGATGGTGAGATGCTAAATTTGGAAAATGAATGCTTGATAGAGACTCCCAAGATCTGCTTAATGGATACACTAAACTCGTTTATGGATTTATCTTAGTCAGATTGCTAAACTCCTTATATTTCACCCTAATTTTCAAAATACAACACAACTAAGCCATTTATTGGTCTTTATGATACGACAAAATTAACTGATAAGGAAGATATTTTGGGAAGCTTAGCTCCACATGCCTTAAATAAAGTTTCAGGTTATGAAAGTTTAGAGGAGGCATTGTAAAATCATGAATCAGTAATTGATGTAAATTAATAAACTTTGCATCACAAAATCCTTAGAAGTGAGTCATTAGTTGAGTAAAGACAAGCAATTGAAACTACTCCAGTTAATTAAAATCTTATCATAATATACATAGATGCCCTATCAAGGGCAAGAGCGCATAAGAAGCTACCTAAAACTATGTAGTTTTTCAAAGATTAAATAAATGCAGAAAAAGATGTTTATGAATTCTATAAGTATAGCGCTTTTTATGGATATACAGCTGAAAATGTTGAGGCCATTCATTATGGGTTTACGATGGATAATTCTGATATGTAAATGTATTACTCCTACTAATCTATTACATAATACTTCAAAGACAAAGGATTTATTGTTGGTAGATCTTAGAACTACTGTGAAAGATTTTATTTTCCATTTACCTAGCATATCATTGACAGATTTAGCTTTGAACCAGCTGATCATGAAATGATATCGTTTGCTTGTGATCCACACTATCATTAAGAGAAATTTCCAGACTTTGCTTACATTGGACCATACTCTATGTTTAGAAAGTGCCTGTATGGTTAGGACACATTTTAATATGTATTAGATTTTGGAGAGGATTTTATGAAGACTTATGAGAATGAGAGAAAGGTTCTCTTCTTAAACTTTATTGATTACCATGAGGGAACTGGAACTGCTGTGAGATTCCTTGATGAGCCTCTAGCTAGATTTTTATAAGAATAAGAATCTCAAAATACAAGTTTTATACTGATGAGTGATCATGGCTTTCATATGAATGGATTATTATTCTAACTTGGTAGAATTTATGGTTAGAGTGAGATTGAGAAACTAATGCCTCTTTTAATACTTTCTAATCCTGGTGGCATCCCTGAAAAATATAGGAAAAATATGTACTATAATGAATAGAAACTACTAAGTCATAAGCAGCTACACTATTTTTTTAAGTATTGGGCTACAGGGGAGATTTAAAACCAGCCAAGTTTGATATCAGAAATGCCTGATGATCTTACTAATTGTTAAGATATTGGCTATAATTGCTAATGTCAAAATTATTATGTTACTACTTTTGGACTATGAAAAAAAGCTATTGAGCTATCATTATTCAGATAAATACTTTAACTATTTACTATGATATATTGAGGTGAAAAAAAAAATCCTCTCATATATTAGAGTAATTTAAATATAGAACGACAATTATAAAATTTATTCAACCTTTGAATAATTTTTATCATTTAGGGGTTTTGGGGTTTTGGGG